TTAAGTTTTTTTTTTTAAATTCAAAAGAAATAAGGTAAGTGGACACTTTTTCATATATATAATTCAAACAACACCTCCACCGCTTAAACCAACCCTAATACGATGATTGTACTTTCCCTTATCGTTTTGAAAAAGATCAAACAGAACTACAAATACTTACAGAGCACGAACGAGGAACTCAAGCCTTTTTCCACAAGATGCAGCTGAGAGTAAATTCAGATGCAGAGCAGCTCTGAAGACCCACTAACTCTGGTAATTAAGAATGAATATCAACAGAGAAATACTGCATGCATATGGACCTTCATGAGGCAATTTGTGAACAACTATTGAATCAGACGAGAGCAAGAGTTGATCTGATTGTGTATGTAGAAGTGTTTGATCAAAGAAATTACTATGGCAGTGAAGGGGTGATCCCTGCAACCACCATGGCGGTGGTGATTAGCTGCGTTGGGGCTCCGATCGGAGACTATTACATCCATCCGCCAATCACACGGTGGTCCCAACCCCTCCCCGACCACCACTTTGACGGCACAAAAAATTTAAAGGCTGATTTGGACAATCTAGAAGTGAAAGTAAACTATAAAGTCCAAGGCTGAAATTTTGAAATGAAAATTTGGGGCACAAACATTAGTTTCAAGAAAATGACTTTTTGGGAAAATAAGCTTCGAGAATTGGAAAAGATTTTAAAGAAGAAAATGCAGGAAAGGATGATAAATCAATGGGATGCAGGAGTCATAGATAAATATGCAAAAAAAAAAAAAAAAAAAGAGCTGAATTTCTAAAAAAAAAAAAAGAAGGGAAAAGGGTTTGAAAAAGGAGAATCAAATAAGCTTATAGTTTATAAATTTTAGAGATATTAGATGGAAAGGAACAAAGTTTTACTCCGTTAAAAAAACGGAACTTAAAAATTTAGAAACAGAGCCTAGAAAAATCAGGAGGAGAAAATTGATCAAGCTTTTGAGAGAAGAAAAATGAATGTAAAGAAAATGTAGGAATTAAAAATTAGATATACCTGCTGGCCTGAAATTGTGCTTCCTCAATTCAATGGTTTTGTTGAGAAGATAGTAAAAATGAAGATGGCAGGCAGAATATGTAGTAGATTTTACAAAAATTATGCAATGAATCCACAGAAGATGTACGGGTTTTTGGTTAAGATAGGGGCTGCGCTGGGGGATTACCCCTTTTCCTTTAAGGTACAAGGGACAAAAGTGTTCACGCGTGTTAATGGTTTTCGAGGAAACTTCGGGTAGTGCACCACTAGCAAGGATTTGAGAACTTCCCCATGGGTTTAAGTAGATGGGCCACGTTTTTCCACGGGTGATAGGAAGTGGAGTTCACTCGATCTGAGTTCAACTCAAATCTTGAACGGATATTAATTCAGTAATTTTTTTTGTCGAAAAAAAAAAAAACAAAGATTTGTGGAAAATTAAAAAAAAAAAGATAAACAAAATAAAAAACAGTTCACTTGGGCTGTTCGGGTTAAATTTTATCAAAATGATTTTTATAGAAAAGTAATTAGAAAAATATTATTTAAGAAATTTATAAATTTTATATAAAATTTTATTAAAATTTTTTATTAATAAATTATTAATTTTTTATATTTAATAAAGATAAATATAAATAATTAATAGAAAAAATTAAGTAAGACATATATAAAAAAATTGTTGATTAGAATTATATAAAAAATAAAATTAAAAATATTACTTTTATCGATTTATTTATTTTTATTGTTTTAGTCTTTACCACGTGGATTAGTGGGTCTCAAGAACTAAATATTTCATGTTTGTGCATCATTAAAGGCTTAGGTGAGGTGGTGATCATGATTTCGAGTTTTATTATTGTCGTGAATTCTATCAAAAGACGATTTAATGGCCATGCTTCTCATTTGAGGGGGTGAAATGTTTATCGATCTAAAAATCTCAGTTGCTAACAAGTAACCCATACTAATTTACTAACCATTACCCTTATAAAAAAAATAAATAAATTTAATTAATCAATTAATATATTAATAAATTAATTTTTATTTATTAATATAAATTTATAATAAAATATATATATTTATTACATTTTTAACCTATATTTTAAAAATACAAATTAAAAAAACCTATAAATAATTGAAACTAGAAAATTTCCTTTTCTTGGAAATTGCTACTGCTTTTTTAAAAAGACAGAAAATGACAAAAGAAATAATGTGCCACGCGTTTAACTTTGGAATTTTGATAGAAATTTTTGGCCGATTGGGAAGAACGTAACATTTGGACGCATTTTGATCCATTCACTATTCAGATCTCCGGGATCCGATGGATCTCTTTTAACGGGTCGGGCTTAACCCGTTAAACTCACATCCTTCAGCCCATTCTTAAAAAAAAAAAAAAGAAAGCCAGTTTTTCTGCGACCCATTTCAACAATAAATGTGTGTTGGCTCAATTACAGGCCCTCCGTATTAACTAAAAAAAAAGGAAAAAAGAAGAGAGTCAAAGATGTTCAACCCTACTTCACGCATTCTTTTTGAACTTCACCTAAAAGTTTTGATTCCATGTAATCTGGACCCTCCTATTTGCATTTGACTTAATCTGGTCCATGCATTTCAACTAACCTCAATTTGGCCCACTTTTTTCTCAATTACATCTTCATATTTTTACTGGTCTCAATTGAGTCCTGAAAACTCTTAATATCAGTTCGATTATGTCCATGCATGTCTTAAATGTTTCATTTAAAACCATTCATACAAAAAAAAGATTTACAAGTTCAATAAATTCCTCAAATTTAAAGTATGTAATTGTGTTTTACATGGAAGATTATGAGGTGAGCGTGTACTCTCTTCTTCACTTCTAATCAAACTGCAAATCCCAATCTCTTGAAAATCAACAATACTTCACCTTTATTTGATTAGGTGGCAACTTTGATTTTTCTAATCATTACAACTTAATTTTTCAAATTTAATTTATATTTTTGAAATTTTAAGTAGGCCGTCAATACTTATAACACCATCTCTTAACTTACCCTCTCACATATTTATCACTCTAAACCATATCCATATCTGTCCTTATATATTTTTTTTATTAATAATTTATTTATTATTATTCTGTCTCTTCTCATTCTCTCATCTCTATTATTCTTCTTTAGTCACCCATTATATTTTTCATCTATCATTATATTTCTTTTTACGTAATTTTTCTTTCTATCTATCATTAAATATTTTATGTTTTCTTGATATTAAAATAATATAAATAGTTTTAAATCACAAATAATTTAATAATATGTAATAAATTTATACACATATCCACATTATGAATATTAACCAATATAAGATAAAGAACCTATATTATTTCCCTCCATTTCCCACTTCATATTAGTAATCTATTTGTTATTATTCTTTTTCCCATTATCCTTTCATCCCTATTATTTTTTCTTATTCATTCATTTAAACTTTTTTCTATCAAAATATATCTCTTTTTTACACCAATTTTTTACTCTTGATACTTTTTCGCTTACATACACTTCATCATACGTTAATTTTTCTTGTGTCTTATTCTATTAGCTTATTCTCTCACATTTTATTATTATATTTATCTATTATACATTTGCTTTTATTTTCTCTCTACATATATTAATAATTTATTTGTTAGTAATCTTTCATTCAGTTTCCTTATGCTTATTCCCTCAAAATATTATTCTTTCTTAATTACTCATGCATCTCTATTTATTATGAGATTCATGTTTGATTCATGTTTTACAAGGTGAATTGTACATTGAAAAAATGTATTTCATCTTATAAATTTACTTAAATACCCTTAATGAAATAATATAAGAAATAGTTTTATTAAGGGTATTAAAGTAAATTCATAGGGTAAACTATACTTTTTTGATTTATTATTATATATAAAATTTACCTTATTCTCTCTCTCTCTCTCTCTCTCTCTCTCTCTCTCCCCCATGTTGTGTGTATGATAAAATTCTTTAACTATTTATCTTGATGAATATATTGAGAGCCTTTAAAGATTCTTACTTCTTACTTTACTATTTTTATAATTTTTTGATGATTTAATTTAGACTTTTGATAAAGAGAATATCTCAACATTTTTAGGTTCTTTATAGAGGCTCTTTCTTTACTTTTAAGTTCCTTGTAAATGCTCTTACTTCTTGCTTACACCGAGGAGGTTCATTTAGAATCCATTTTGTACTTTTTAAAGAGAATCATGTTTGGGGGCCCTCCCTTATCCAATAGTTTATGTTTTATAGTTTGATACAATTTGAACAGCACAATAATTTTCTACTTTTCAAACTATTCTTTTAAGTTGATACAGTTATTATCAAGTTGATACACATCAGTATGTGTACTATAATTTGTAGCCATCCATAATCATTATTTAAAAATACATTTATTCAAAATTATTTACATCTCAGTCAACACCCCCTTAGTCTTTGAATAATAGAGTAAATAAGAATCAATTTGTGAAGTGTCACTTTGAATATAATATAATGTGTATCTACATTAAACACATTACATAATTAAAATAGAAGTCAAATTATATATTTGAGTAAGTTTTTTCAACATTAATAATATGTAAATATATATAGAAAACAAATTATTATTTGGTAATTGAAATAGAATTTAGGTATAATTAGTTAATTAGTTAGAAGTTTTATATAATTAAAGTATTATTAAGTATTGTTATATGGGGAATTAATTTAATAAGAATTATATATATCAAGAAATTTAAAAATATATGCATTTAATTTAATCAAGCTTTACCTTCTTCAATGAATTTTCTTTAAGAAGTTATTGGATATTTAGTTGAGAGTTTAGAGAGATTTTAAAAGATTTAGTGGGTATTTATTCAATATTTATAGAAGATTTTAACAATTTTTATTATAAT